CTGGGATCCCATGGACTGTAGCCTGCCAGGCTCCTCTGTCCATGGGATTTCCCAGGCAAGAATACTGGAGTGGGTTTCCACTTCCTTCTCCAGGGGTTCTTCCTGACCCAGGGATCTAACCAGAGTCTCCTGCATTGCAGGAGGATTCTTTACCACTGAGCCACCTGGGAAGCCCAAAAGATAAAGAGGAACGGGCAAAGAGAAGTAGGAGGAAGGGCATTCTAGGTGGAGGAGATAACCTGGACAAAGATCTGGAGGTAGCAAGGGACTCAGGGTGTGTGGGGCATTTACACAAGCTCGTGAACTTCATAGAATTGGAAACCCCCAGCACATCTGTTTGCACACAGGTTTTACAAAGTCCATTCACATCATTTCCCCACAAACTGAATCCTCCCAGTGACCCAATGAGGGAGCAAAAAAAGGGAACTGCATGCCCATTTGGCAGAGAACTTGCCCAAGGCACAATGACAGTAATTTTCAGAGTAAGCGATGCAGCAAGAATGTATCCTCGTATCTTCAACTTCACCCCAACAGGCAGCCTTGTGGGGAGGAGGGCATCTCAGAAACACTCCTACACTCCTGTGAGGTCATGGGGAGAAGGACTGTCAATGCCTGTACATCCTGACTTAGGCAGGGAAGTTGATTGTCACTATCTATTCATTCATCTCCTTTACTGAGCACCTTCTGTGCACCACCTGATGTGAATAGTGACTCATTGGAAAATACTCCAATGCTGGGAAAGATTGAGGGCAGGAGGAGAAGGGGGTGACAGAGGATGAGATGGTTGGATGGCATCAACCACTCAACGGACATGAATTTGAGCAAACTCTGAGAGATAGTGAAAGACAAGGAAGCCTGGGGTGCTGTAGTCCACGAGGTCACAAAGAGTTGGATACAACTGAGCAACTGAACTGAACTGAACTGTGTGCCAGGCATCATTCTTGTTGCTGGACATACAGCAGTGAACAAAACAGGCAAACATCCCTACCTTCAAGGTAATGACTTTTCTCGTGGGGGTTGCAGAATTGGAATTTTATTACAAATGTGGTTTAAACCTGGACTGGTCAGTCTGATGTGGACGTGGCTAGGCTAGGCTACAGTACCAGCTAGTCATTCAAATGCTAATCTCAGTGCTGCCTAGGAGGTATTTTTTAGATATAATTACAGTAAAATACTTTGGCCACCTCATGCAAGAGTTGACTCATTGAAAAGACCCTGATGCTGGGAGGGATTGGGGGCAGGAGGAGAAGGGGAAGACAGAGGATGAGATGGCTGGATGGCATCACTGACTTGATGGACATGAGTTTGAGTAAACTCCGGGAGTTGGTGATGGACAGGGAGGCCTGGTGTGCTGCGATTCATGGGGTCACAGAGTCGGACACGACTGAGCAACTGAACTGAACTGAACTGAAAGTCGGTGTTCAGTTGACTTTAAATTCAGTAGATTACCCTAAGATCATCTGGCTGGGCCTGATTCAATCAGTTCAAAGGCATCAAAAGTAGAGGTAAGGCTTCCCTGCAAACGAAATCTGCCTATGTGAGACTTCCCCTGGTGGCTCAGTGGTTCAGAATCTGCCTGCCAATGCAGGGGACATGGTTCAATCCCTGGCCCAGGAAGAGCCCACATGTGGCGGAGCAACTAAACTCATGCACCACAATTTACTGAGCCCGTGCCCTAGAGCCCTCATGCCACAACTACTGAAGCCTTCATGCTTGAAGCCTTCATGCTTAAATCCCATGCTCTGCAACAAGGAGAAGCCACTGCAATGAGAGGCCTGTGTGCCAAAACTAGAGAGTAACCTCAGCTGGCTGCAACTAGAGAAAGTCCATGCACAGCAACAAAGATTCACTGTGGCCAAAAATAATAAATAAGTAAATAAAAATGTTTAAAAATTTTAAAAGCCCACAGAAAGATTCCGGGGAGTGGCAGCATTCTGTGTGTGGTGATTTCATGGGGGTCCACAAATATAATTTTTTTCAATGAATTAATTTATTTTAATTGGAGGATAATTACAATATTGTGATGGTCATGAATTGGCCACAAGTATACATGTGTCCCTGACATCCTGAGACCCCCCCCACCCACCTCCCCCATGAATGTAATTTTTCCAATGTGCTTAGTCACTCAGTTGTGTCGGGTTCTTTCCAACTGCATGGACTGTAGTCTGCCAGGCTCTTCTGTCTATGGGATTCTCCAGGCAAGAATACTGGATTAGGTAGACATGCCCTCCTCCAGGGGATCTCTCCAACCCAGAGCTCGAATCCAGGTCTCTGGCATTGCATGTAGATTCTTTCCATGAAGTATCTGAGTCACCAAGGAAGCCCAAGAATAGTGGAATGGGTAGCCTATCCCTTCTCCAGAGGATCTTCCCAACCCAGGAATCAAACCGAGGTTGCCTGCATTGCAGGTGGATTCTTTGCCAGATGAGCTACCAAGGAAGCCCCTATTTGTCCAATATATATCTCTATACTATATGCACTTTATGCATGTATGGTATACTGCATTAAAAAAATACTAATGACCACAGTAAAGTCAAACCTAGAGCCTAAGACTCCCACATTGTGGCTCTTTAATCTTTGGTGACACAGGTCAGGAACTGGCTATCTCTGGTGCATCAGTTGGGAGAGGGGACAGGAGAACCTCTTGAGATAGTGAAGTTTCTGTATGACTTGCTTGAGGTGACAGTCACACGTGTCTACACACAGGTAGAACTGCATCAATCTGGACGGTTAAGATGTGTGACCTTTCCAATGTGTAAGCCATACCTCCACAAAAGGAAACAAAACTAAAAGTATGACATATAATTAAATGATCTCATGTCTGGGATTTGCATGAAAATAACATAGGAAGTGAGGAAATGGGTGGAGGCACTGATGAAATGCAATTAACCATGAGTTGGTATTTGTCAGACGGGTACATGGAGGCTTATTATACTCTT